TTCACTTGACGGTTAGTTTAGAAAAATGGCGTATCGTTAACGCCCGTGCAAAAGTTATTCGTTGCGGAGAAAGGCGCAAGTAAACGCGAGACAACGGAATACAGTCTCGCGTTTGGATCCTCTCGGAAGTTAACGTCAAGTTTCTCTAGCGACTTGCAAATAAAAAAAAAAAAAAAACTATTGAGATTAAATTAAATTTAGAAGTATCCAAATACTTTTGCGCGCGATCGTGTTGTTGGGAGAGCGCCGCGTGCTCTCCGTGTGCTCCTCGTGCTAGTGGGACCTTGTTTCATGACCCACATAAAGCAAGGCCGTTAACACTACTCGCGACTCGCGCGCGTATGGGTGCGGGCCCCCAACAAGCCTACTCGCCACTCTATGGGACCCCACGTGCCCCCACCGTTCACCGTTCAGCAGGCCCCGAGACGTGCTCTTCCGATATACGCTACCTGCATATACCTGCGTCTACCTGTATTACCATACGTCACGTGCGCATACGTGCGCGTGTGAGATGAACCGGAGACGATGGACACTTGCTGGTGTATGCGAGAAGAGTGAATCTGTGTGTGTGTGTGTGTGTGTGTGTGTGTACGAAATGCGTGTACGCGTTTGCAACGAGAGAGAAGCTCGAGGAGCGTCTGTAGTAAAGGTTAGCCATCGTCGAGACCATCGCGGATAATTTCCCTCTATCTCTTTCTCCACAGATTATGCGCCGATGCATATGTATGTAGAAACCGGAATCCGTATTAATTGGTCGAGAAATTTTATTAGGAATTGTTTCGCCGTTGCGACCACGTGTATATACGCGAGCTTCGTGTAGGAAGAAGAAAGGCGCGATGTTGATCTTTGATACTCGTAGTGATTCCTGAATGTATATTTCTAAGAGAATCTCTCCAGTTGTTGAACTATAAATAATAACGAACAGATCGATGTGAGCACGTTTCGTGCCATTTCTAATATGGACAACTTTGTTACATGAGAAAGAGCTTGTTCCAAAATTGCAATATTTCCTCAGTTTCAAGTGTATTTAAGTATAACCCAGGTAGAACAAACAATAAATTTATTACTTCTCAATAATTTCTATTTGTAGAGTCCAAAAATAAAGCGACGAATTGTTGTATACGGTGTTGGTCACTCGTTATGGTCCGCCAATCGGTTGCCAGCGCAAGTGGTTAACCACTTGCGCTGGAAAGAGTTTGTCCCAAAATTGCAATATTTCCTCAGTTTTAAGTATATTTGAGTATAACCCAGGCAGAACAAACAATAAATTTATCACTTCTCAATAATTTCTGTCCGTAGAGTCCAAAAATAAAGCGACGAATTGTTGTAGACGGTGTTGGTCACTCGTTATGGTCCGCCAATCGGTTGCCAGCGTAAGTGGTTAACCTCTTGCGCTGGAAAGAGTTTGTCTCAAAATTGCAATATTTCCTCAGTTTTAAGTATATTTAAATATAACCCAGGCAGAACAAACAATAAATTTATTACTTCTCAATAATTTCTGTCCGTAGAGTCCAAAAATAAAGCGACGAATTGTTGTGTACGGTGTTGGTCACTCGTTATGGTCCGCCAATCGGTTGCCAGTGTAAGTGGTTAACCTTTTGCGCTGGAAAGAGTTTGTCCCAAAATTGCAATATTTCCTCAGTTTTAAGTATATCTGAGTATAACCCAGGCAGAACAAACAATAAATTTGTTACTTCTCAATAATTTCTATTTGTAGAGTCCAAAAATAAAGCGACGAATTGTTGTATACGGTGTTGGTCACTCGTTATGGTTCGCCAATCGGTTGCCAGCGCAAGTGGTTAACCTTTTGCGCTGGAAAGAGTTTGTCTCATAATTGCAATATTTCCTCAGTTTTAAGTATATCTGAGTATAATCCAGGCAGAACAAACAATAAATTTGTTACTTCTCAATAATTTCTATTTGTAGAGTCCAAAAATAAAGCGACGAATTGTTGTATACGGTGTTGGTCACTCGTTATGGTTCGCCAATCGGTTGCCAGCGCAAGTGGTTAACCTTTTGCGCTGGAAAGAGTTTGTCTCATAATTGCAATATTTCCTCAGTTTTAAGTATATCTGAGTATAACCCAGGTAGAACAAACAATAAATTTATTACTTTTCAATAATTTCTATCCGTAGAGTCCAAAAATAAAGCGACGAATTGTTGTATACGGTGTTGGTCACTCGTTATGGTCCGCCAATCGGTTGCCAGCGCAAGTGGTTCTTCCTCAGTATATTTAAATATAACCCAGGCAGAATAAACAATAAATTTATTACTTCTCTTATAATTTCTATCTGTAGAATCCAAAAAGAAAGCAACGAATTGTTGTAGACGGTGTTGGTCACTCGTTATGGTCCGCCAATCGGTTGCCAGCGTAAGTGGTTAACCTCTTGCGCTGGAAAGAGTTTGTCTCAAAATTGCAATATTTCCTCAGTTTTAAGTATATTGAAATATAACCCAGGCAGAACAAACAATAAATTTATCACTTCTCAATAATTTCTACTCGTAGAGTCCAAAAATAAAGCGACGAATTGTTGTGTACGGTGTTGGTCACTCGTTATGGTCCGCCAATCGGTTGCCAGCGCAAGTGGTTAATACTTGGGACGCTCCGCGGAAAATCAGTGTCGCTGTTACGTTCATCGAAAAACCAAAAGCAATAAATGACACGAAGTAAACCGAAAGTTAAGCGGGGTGGGGTGGGAAAAAAAGTCAGGTCCTGGGTCCTGTTGGTGCGCTTACGTTAAGCGTTTATAGCGTGCGCGCTGAATGCACATCCGTGTGCGAGTGTGCGCGCGTGGCTGGACAAGTTAGTAGGTCACACGTACGTGCCGTGCACACATCGAGCATCGAGCATGTTATCATCATCCAGTGTCCGTGGAGAACAACTCCGTGTGACTCCAAACGAGGCTTCCACAGAGGCTACCTTGATCTTGACTGGACGCAAGGTCCATTTCGCTGTCGTCGTGCATTCAATATGGCATTGCTCCTATCTGCTTTCGCATTGTCCGCATTGCCGCCGCATGTTGAACGGACATTATGCGTATTAGACGGTTAAATGGGAAAAGTTTCAGAAGTTATTGCACGTTTGCGAACTTTCCGTTAAACACGCTCGCACTACATCTAATAGAGAAGCAAATATTATAACGACTGTTATCTCCGCGAGCTTACTTTATACATTAGTGAGACAACGCAAATTTGTTGCATCTACGATTTGTTAATCTCGCTCTTTCTTCATCTCGTTGACAACAAATTGCGTATAAGGATAACCTGTGTTGTGCTTGTCGTATAATATTACGTATGCAATGAATATAACATAAAATGTAATAGTATACAGAGCGTCTCAGCTGAACGGAATCTGTTTTTTTATTTGTTGCTTGAAAATTCTATTTGTTTCTTTCTCAATGAATGAGGTTACTTTTTTTAATGAAATTTTTGAATATAACATAAACTGAAATCTTCAATAATTACATTTTGAAAATTATTATTATTTGTGCTAGTTTACGTAACGAAATAATTAACTAAAATTTGCATATTTTTAAAAATGATGAATGTTTTTGAAGATGGACGTTTAAGATGAAAAAAAAAATCACTGTAAAGTAATCGAAATTAAAAATTCTATTTGTTAGTGAGTTAAAATTTTTAAATTATGTTAAAACAAGTATCAATTTTCGAATATCGAGTAGGCGAGTGTAAGCACACTTAGTGCCACCTGGCGGGGACGTTCTGTACTAAGAAAGAAATCGTGAAAGAGATTACAAATACGGTAAATTTGCATAAATCATTATGCAATAGAATCGATGATCCTCGTCTTATACGTATGTATCTGGTTTTTGCATTCGTGCAGATACTGTCACGAAGGTCAAAATTTGAATATCCAAATGATTCCTTATTCCACTGTGTGTTTAAGAACTTCTGTGTTCTCCACAGCAAATAACGTCGGTATTATAGTAAATTATAGCAGAGAAATATCTATATTTAATGAAAACTTGCAAACGATATGTTTTATCAATATTCGAGAAATAAATTATTAAATAAACTTTTCATAAAAGTCATTCACATTAAATTAAGATACATAGAGGAAATATACTGCCAATGTATCCATTTTTTGTTCCTGAAAATATTTTTATAAAATATCATTTCTTACAAGTAATATTTCTATCTGTTCTTTGTCTGTATCAATTAAATCTCTTGATAGAATTTGGCTTATGAGAATCTTTATTCTTGATAGAATAAAGAATATTTTTAATATATTTTATATTAATACAGATACAAATAATTTTTAATATAAATTACACTTTCGATGTAACTTCCTCACAAAAATATTCAGGTAATTAAAATAACAGTTTTCTTCAGACAAGAAGGTTTATCAATTTTCATTAATTTCAAACAATATGATTATTATCATTTCACAAAAAACTTGAAGTAATTTTAAAATGACAATGGTTGATTTTAATATAATGTTTGTTATATACAGGAATTGATTTCAATGTATTATTTGTTATCATCAAGCAATAGTAAGCAACATATAAACAAATCTCTCAATTTTCAATCAGGAACATTTTCCACGGTGAACTTTATTTGCAAAATTTTCATTCAAAATGCTTCAAGTTTAATTCCAAGAACACTCTATGCCGCAAATATTGATCATCTTCTAAATAAAACATTTAGCAATAGAATTATATCTTTGATTAAAAAAAAAAAAAAAAAAAAACAGAAAAAATCCTCGCTGGCCCTTTGTAAGAATTCGCGAGGTCGATGCCTACGGAGAAGTTCCTATTCTATTGATTGACCTGGATCTGCTGAAGATCTGTACACTGCGGAGTGCCGTGATTCGCGTTCTCCGCCGGTTTTGCACGCGATCTGTAATTATTGACTAACTCGTAGCGGTCACGATACTTGCCTGAACGTTAGTCCCTGCAAGTTTGAGCAGGTTCCCGCCGTATCTGGGTCATCAAACGAGAGAAAAGAGAGAGAGAGAAAGAAAAAAGCAACCGAAGGAGATGTTTCAGATTTTCAAGAATGTTTTTTTTCTTTCCTCTTTTATTGGTCTTCAAATCTTCCTTGTACAGCAATGGTGACAATATATCTTGGATTCTTTCGCGTGTATCATGATAAACGAGCGGCTTAGGTTCTAGCTAGACACCAAAATACATGGGTAATCATCAAAGTGTTCAGTCCAGACGATTCGTTAATATATTATATATTAAACTTCTTTTTTCTAAAAGAAAAAAAAAAAGAAAAAAAGAAAAAACTTCCGTACATGCGTAGAAGAGAAACTGTGTATGAAAATACAGAAGAAACATACCGTATCCGGGGTGTACATACGTATGGCACGTTCCTGTTCAAGAGATGCATATCATTAATTTAGATGCGACTATAACGAAGTTGTAGGGCCTTTCAATCTTATTCTCGGCAAGCAGAAAGCGGCGATGGATTTAAATAGATTCAAGCGTTACATCGTTCGTCACGAGTACATCATAATATTTTATTTCAACTTTGTAAATAAAAAATTATGGAGATTTCGTTTAAAAAGTTTCCTTTCTCTCTACTTTAAAAAGCGCCCCGAAGTCTCTCAGATGTATTTATAAAATTATCATCTCAGTGTCTATTTTGTGCGAGTTTTATATTATTTTCATCAGCTTTGTCGTAATATTCTCTCGAAGGCTTGATTCTTCTTCCCTTTTTAAACAAAGTGACAGTGTATTATTTAAAAAATTCCGCTCTCACACCAGAAATACCTCTCGCTTTCCTCTACGCTCTAAGTAACACACTCGAGTGAATCGATAATCGTGAATAATTGTACCATGCCTCGCCAAGTGTAGTCTCGATGCAACTAATAATCAACCTGAACCTCAGACTTATACGATCAATAGGGCACCTAACTCGACATTTAACTCGAATCAAACTCGCCCGTTCCGATTTCTTTAAATCTCAGCAACTCGATAGTACATGTATGTATATCCTCGCAAATTCTTCCACGTTTACATACCCGTCCGCGCTTCGTTTCTGTTAAATCAATACAACGACGGATACAACTAAAGTTTACTAAAGAGACTCTCGTCGATTGAACAAAACGAGCATCTCGCAGCTATATCTCCCGAACGATTTGAACTTGCCTAGCGTTTCAAAATTGTCTAACAAACGCGACGTAGATGGTTGTTAATTCTGTCGTTAATTCTCCATCAACTCGCCGACATTGTCGACGATCGTAGAACCCAAGACAGAGCCCAGAATGAAAGAATCTTCCGGCTACCGCGCGTCTCTACTCCTTTTAGGCCAGCTGTTCAAACGATAACGCCTTGCTGAGCGAGCAACTGCTTCCTCTGATGAAGACTCGGCGACTCGCCCTCCATCTCCGCGACGGTTTTAACGCCGTCGAACGACTTGGAGGTCTTCAGATTATTCAGAGCTTTCAAGCAGCTGCTCGTGGTCATTTCCAAAGACTTGGAGCTCTTCAGCGACGCGTTCGCCAATTTCTTGATTGTCTCCGAGATGGGACACTTGATGAAATCGGCTCTCTCCCTCTCCTTCTCTTTGATCCTCTGATTGTTCTCCACGGCCAACAAACTGTCCTTCGCCTCCTCTTCCTGTCCACTCTCCTCCCCCTCTTCCTCCACCTCTTTCGCTGCGTCCTTCGAATCCTCGTTTTTCACTGTTTCACTCTCGAGAAGTTGATCCTTGTTGTTGCTCTCCTCCTCGTCCTTTCGCTCGTCTTGGCTCAACAGAGACTTGGGCGGCGCCTCGACGTAGCCGCTCTCGTCGCTGTCCACTTCCTCGTCCAACGAGTCCAGGGTCAAGAAAGGGGACTCGTCGTTCTGCAGCAAGTCGTGGCTCATCCTGCCCGGGTATTTCTCCATTACTCGTCTCTCCTGCGGGTCGTCCAGCCTGCGTAGTATCTCGCCCCTCGGCCTGTAGTCGACCACGTCGTCGAAGTCCTCGGCGTCCTCGAAGTCGAACACGTGCGAGGCTGGGTCCTCTATCTCCTCGTCTTCCTCCTCCATCGACTCGTCCTCCTCGTCCTTCCGCGACGGGAACATCTCTCGGCCGGTGTGCACGATATTCCGACGGTGAAAACGCGGACTGCCGGCGCAGGTCATGAAGTTTGGGGAACCGTCCGAGTTTCTTCGTGGGCCTGCACCTCGCACCACCGCCTCGTTCGCGAACATCACTCTTCTGTCCATTCGTCCGTGCGGCGTCTCCGCTGTCTCACCTGCAACGTGTACGTATTTACGTTAAAAAGTGCACGAGAGTGTAGAATTTGTTTTTTTATTTACTTTTTTTTTCGCACGTAAAATAGTGTCTACTGTTAATTACTCATTTACTGTCGCGCGTGGAATTCACCTCGAGTCTACTTGATTAATCTCCGAACTCGATTTTCTGGAAAACGAGCGATTTTCTCAAATCAAAAAATTTCGTTCTGTTTTTTTTTTTTTTTTTTTTTTTTTTTTGAAAAAATATATAGATATGTGAAAAGGGAATGAAAAGGGTGATCCATTTAAGTGAGGTCATTAAATGTCACACTGCGATGATGCAAAAAATATTTTTCACCTAGCACGAATGGTGTCGAGTGAAGAATTTTCTTTTCAAGGTCATTGATGTTTTGTCTCATACAGTCATACATTTTTTGTTGCATCGTGTAACTAATAAAGAAATACGTTCACGATACACGACCTTGAAAATTTAAGTTTTCCGTGTAAATTTCTTTCTCTTAAAAGTAAAAGTAAAACTTACGTTTTCAAGATCATGTTCTTTACATATCTGAATGTATTTTTTTTTATCAGTTACACGATGCAATAAAAAAAAGTATAGTTGTAGAAGAAGCATCAACAATCTTGAAAATTTCGAAGAAATGACATTGAAAAAAATATTTTCTTAGCATTTCAATACCATTTCTGTCAGGCAAAAAAAATATTCTTTTGCATCGTCATAATTCGAAAAGATTATTTAAGTGGCCTTAATTACTTTGAACATCGATCGAGGTATACATGGAATTTATACTATTTCCTACGAGAATCGATCAAGTATTGATGCAGTAAAAATTGTAAATTATAAATTGCACGTGCAATTTTATTATTATAATAAGTACTGAATATTAAAAATTTTAAAACTTTTGAGTTTATATTGCACTTGTAACAAGCACTGAATATTAAATTTGAATATTGAATATTATATTATAATAAGTACTGAATACTAAAAGTTCTGAAACTTTTGAGTTTACATTGTGCATTATGTGTTTATATTGTATATAAATTTCGCGTATCATTAAAACAGAACATAACATACATCAGGTCTGAACAAGCTTAATCATTATTTTGACCATATATTAATACAATAATTTATATATATACATTTACATAAAAATTACTGTTATTATACTCACACACGTATAATAATTAAAATCGTAAAGGATTTGCGTCATTGATTAGTCAGGTTATTCCAAATTGCTTGAATTCAAGCAATTTCACAAATTAATTAAATGATGAATATTCGAGTAATGAGATGACGTGGGTTATATAACGAGTCAACAGTTTTAAAATATTCTAATAATAATTCGCTGTAATTACACGTCCCCATGTGATGCGAAATTATCTTTTTAAAATTAATCTTTCATATACAGAGTGTTCCAATTTAATCTGCATGCAATTGTCTCAGAAACTATTTGAAAAATGTCTCAAATACATTCTTTTTTTCTTTCCTGTTTCGAGGAGGCAGTAATTTGGTGGACTTAGTTTGTCTATATATTATTTTTATTTTTTATTTATATATATAATCCTTGCCTAGGCGGCTTAGGATGGCTTCCGGTTTACAATGTGTCTGCATTTTTCTTATTTTCTACTCTTATAACTAATCCTTAGTGTCTACGTCTTATGAATCTAATTTGCCTTTTGCTCATTGCACTTGCAGGAACTATAAAAATAAAAGTAAAAAGGTAAAAGTAAAGCAAAAGGTAACGGGTACAACAATGTGAAAAATAAAAAGAGCTTTCTACTGCCTTCTATTATTTCTATTATCTTTTTCTTTGGTATAGTTTGTCTCTATATAACGTATAGGAGATACGAAGGTCGCTATTATTTTTTCAAGTACAGTTATGCAATGCTTTTTGCATATCAATCGATACAGCAGGTCGTTCTCCACAAAAGTAGTATTAACTTATCTACGTTATCTAAAAGTACCATTAGTTTAAGAGAAATTTTTTTACAAAATCGATGAAAGACAGTATACGAGTGCAAGAATTCTGCTCTTTCATACGACAGATTTGACAAAATTGAAGTTAAATTTTCGATATACATAGGATAATGCTTTTTTTTTTTTTTTGACATAAAAAGAAATTACATAACTATACTTGGAAAAAAAATAGTAACGACCTTCGTATCTCTTACACGTGTCTATGTACACCAAATTACTGCCTTTTCAAAACAGGAAAAAAAGAAAAATGGATTTGAAAAATAGTCGCGTAGATAACTGCACATTATAGATTAAATATTAATATTATAAATTAAAATGAGACAGCCTGTATATACATAAGCATATCTTTCTTACTATTTGACTTCGTTTTAATAACAAATTTCCCAAAATATCAACTCAAAGAATGTATGTACATATATTTGAAACAATATTCTCCTCAAGAGTGAGGTATTTTCATTCTCTTGCAATTGTTCGACCATGTCGCGCAACTACCTGTACCTGTGGCGTGATGATCCTCCGGGCCAGGAGCTCTTTCCTCGCTGGTCGCCGTGCTGGCTGTCTCACATCCGCTGGAGATACTTCCGTTCTCGTCGGAGGACTCGCGATTCAAAGCGTCGAGCAGCCGAGCGAGCCTCCAGCTGTCTTGGTCTTGCCAGCTGCGTGCCACGTTCTCCAACGTCCTCAGCTCATCCAGGATCCTCTGCTGCTCGATCTCCTCAGCGACGATGTCCTCCTCGATCGCCGACAGTTTCGGCGCGCTTTTCGATCGCTCGAGCGGCGGCCGGTAATTCTGACCGCCGGTGCTGAGAAGTAGCTTCCGCCGCGGTAACGAAGGATTCTCGTACAGAGCGTTTGCCAGCGACAATCTGAAAACGACGAGATTCGCTGGTGAACGTTCAATTTCCTTTTTACTCTCTTTCACGACGAATTAAGGTTGAGAGAAGTATAGATGAATGAGAAGGATTTAATCCTTGGCCGGAATTTCATTATTATTATTATTATTATTATTTAATATTATTATTATTATACATTATTTAATATTATTATTATTATATTATTTAATATTATTATTATTATTATTATTAAATATTATTATTATACATTATTTATTATTATTATATTATTTAATATTATTATTATTATTGTTGTTGTTGTTGTTGTTGTTGTTGTTGTTCTTTTCATTGATGTTCAAAGTTGCAAATGTACATTGAGTTATTAATAGAGTGGGGATTTTTATACATTTTAAAGGAAATTAGAAGACAAAATGTACAAAATAATATATATAGCTTTACAAATGTAAAGCTTTATTATCGTCTTCTATCATTTATATCTTCGTTTCGTTCATATATTATATAATATATTATATATATTATATATAAATTATATAATATATATAATTATATACATATAAATTTAATATTTTTAATAGGGGTGAGAAATTGAAATATATAATTATAAACATATAAATTTAATATTTTCAATAGGGATGAGAAATTGAAATATATAATTATATACATATAAATTTAATATTTTTGACAAGGGTGAGAAATTGAAATATATAATTATAAACATATAAATTTAATATTTTCAATAGGGATGAGAAATTGAAATATATAATTATATACATATAAATTTAATATTTTTAGTAGGGCTGAGAAATTGAAATATATAATTATATACATATAAATTTAATATTTTTGACAAGGGTGAGAAATTGAAATATATAATTATATACATATAAATTTAATATTTTTAATAAGTGTAAGAAATTAAAATATATCATTTATATCTTCGTTTCGATCACATGTAATCTCGTCTCGCAGTGTTGACTGCGACTTATGGAAAACACAGATTGTAGACTGGACGAAGTTTGAGCTCGAATTTTATATTTCTTCAGAGATGATGCTTGCTAATGACGCTGTACTGATATCTGTTAATTAATTAGTTATTTCCACTTTATATTTCATATATGATTATATATATAAATCAATAGCAATATATGTATTTATTTGGGCAAATTTGTTTAAGATACTAAATTCATTTAGTATATTTTTACCCGAATTTATTTTCTGGAATTAAGGACATCGAAAAGTCTTTGACAAAACAGATTACTATTGAGATAATTAATCCTGAAGTTGATCTCGATGTTACCTGGCGAGAAATTTTGCAATCAAACACAGGTATTTAAAAACATTAAAATCCTTTGGATACAAAATATTTTTCTACTTGTTCGAAATGTCTCTATATGCTATTTTATATTATTTTATATTATTATTTGGAATACTTAAGGAGGGTAGTTAGTTGTCTCTCGTCTGTGAAATAAAATACACATTTTTTTCTAATACGTAGGAAACGTTATTAGATATATTTAAGTAACTCTGAATTTTAAAATGAAATTGATTCTCACAGTCTGCCAATACAGTTACTACTTGACGAGATTTAGGGATTCAGTTTTAATAAATACGAATTTCAATTGTCTTACCAGCACAATATCTAGAAGGAGATTCTTAAGGGTCAAAGAGTTAAAGAACACACGCTAGCTATCGCTGTCGTGACTTTTTCTTTGAAAAAAAAAACCTCAGTTAAATACATGTGATCGAACGATCGAGTCTGACCCGAATCGTGATCGTCTACGATCGTGATCTACGGAACACACGGCCCAAATTGTCTCCTCGGCATAGGTCGCACAGCGCATTCGATTTCCCTGTTTACTGAATTCGTGCAGGAATCCACTATCCTCGATTTTGTTTTTCGTAGCAAATGAAAAACAAGGTAAATAGGTTCATCGAAGATTTAAACGACGTTTCTAGGATCCTCTGTTACCATACAGGTTAACATACAGGCCGAGGATCGTAAATTAAACTATTGACTAGCGGTATCTTTAACCACATGCGCTGGCGCAACTGATTTGCGGACCATAACGAGTGACCAAAACCGTGCACAACAATTCGTCGCTTTCTTTTCGAGCTCGTCGAGAAGTGATAAATTTATTATTTGCTTTTTGCCTGTGTTATACATAAAATTGAGAAAATATTGCAATTTTGGGAGAAAAAATTCTCCCAGAGAATGTAAAATAAAATGAAAAAAAAAAAGAGGCGAGGGAAGAATCTGGAAAATTATTGGCAATAATATCCTAGGAAATAGTGAAATTATAACAAAACGATTCGCGACAAATGGGAAGAGAAACAACGTTTCAAGTGAAAGTGAGCTACTACTCTGTCGCTGTTTGTCAATTCAAATGAGAAAAGCAAAGAAGATGGAGAAATGAGTTTCCGCACGAGCTAAACGGTGGACAAATGTTTAAACGAGCAGAAATAGCTACTTGAAGTCACTTCAAAGAAAAATAGCGGGGATTCACGTTTGAAAACGTTAGACCTTATTATACGAATATGTTCGAATATATACTAATTCAGCATGTAATAATCATGTTTAATAATTAATTTAATTAATGCAGTAGCTATAGATAAACATAAAATTATTCTTCCACTTAGGTGAAATTTGAATTTAAATGAACAATAAAATAAATTTCGTCTAACCTGAATATAAATTAAAAAAAGAAAATAAAATAAAATGATGCACCATTTATGTGAATTAAACGAATTTTATCATCCTGAATTAATATCTAATATGAGAAATTCTTTTGAAGGCTAAATCAGTATTTGGATAGTATTGATAAAAATAAACCTGAAATAATTTGAATTAAAAAAATTCCTAATACTGATCCAAAATTTCATACATAGTTAATATTTATTGGTAAGTTAGTAAATGATAATGGAATTTTCAATATAACACTTTTATGAATCATTATTTTGAATTTTCTCATTACAAAAATTAAGCAAGGAATCACAAGAAAAAACATCCAACATGATAAAAAACATACTGAATCAAAATTCGCTTCAAACAAATATTCCGTACAAATAAAGTTTCTATTATGCTTCAAACTACCATCAATATTTGGATAGTAAAGTATTGATAAGAATAAACCCGAAATAATTTGAATTAAAAAAATTCCTAATACTGATCCAAAATTTCATACATAGTTAACATTTATTGGTAAGTTACTAAATGACAATGGACTGTTGAATATATAACACTTTTATGAATCATTATTCTGAATTCTCTCATCATAAAAACTAAGTAAGGTATTACAAAAAAACTCTAACAAGATAAAGAACATACTGAATCAAAATTCACTTCAAACAAACTCAGTGCATACAAAGTTTCTACTGTGCCTCAAACTCAAGTACAATCTACCATCAATAGTTGGATAGTAAAGTATTGATAAGAATAAACCCGAAATAATTTGAATTAAAAAAATTCCTAAGACTGATTCAAAATTTCATACATAGTTAATATTTATTGGTAAGTTAGTAAATGATAATGGAATTTTCAATATAACACTTTTATGAATTATTATTTTGAATTTTCTCATTACAAAAATTAAGCAAGGAATCACAAGAAAAAACATCCAACATGATAAAGAACATACTGAATCAAAATTCATTTCAAACAAATATTCCGTACAAATAAAGTTTCTACTATGCTTCAAACTACCATCAATATTTGAATAGTAAAGTATTGATAAGAATAAACCCGAAATAATTTGAATTAAAAAAATTCCTAATACTGATTCAAAATTTCATACATAGTTAATATTTATTGGTAAGTTAGTAAATGATAATGGAATTTTCAATATAACACTTTTATGAATTATTATTTTGAATTTTCTCATTACAAAAATTAAGCAAGGAATCACAAGAAAAAACATCCAACATGATAAAGAACATACTGAATCAAAATTCATTTCAAACAAATATTCCGTACAAATAAAGTTTCTACTATGCTTCAAACTACCATCAATATTTGAATAGTAAAGTATTGATAAGAATAAACCCGAAATAATTTGAATTAAAAAAATTCCTAATACTGATCCAAAATTTCATACATAGTTAACATTTATTGATAAGTTACTAAATGACAATGGACTGTTGAATATATAACACTTTTATGAATTATTATTCTGAATTCTCTCATCATAAAAACTAACTTGTAAGGTATTACAAAAAACTCTAACAAGATAAAGAACATACTGAATCAAAATTCACTTCAAACAAACGGAGTCCGATGAGAAACGATGTTCAAGTCTCAAACTCGAGTACAATCTACCATATATCTACCTACTGAAATATATATATATACTACTTCGAACATCAAATAGTTCCTAGCCGTGACATCGATCGATGTGCACAGAGTTACAATCTCCGACCTCTTACTTGCGCACACGTAAACACAACAATCGATTTGCTTACCTGGCATTTTGTCTGGAGACCTTGTCCCGCCGGAATTCCAGGAGCGCCTGCTGTAGCCTGGCGTTCAAGGTCGAGGCAAGCCTCCTCGCGGTGGACTCCTTGCTGCAAAGGGCAGCGTGGCACCTGAGCTCCGGCCTCAGCCTCCGTCCTTCGTGCCGGTATACCCAGACGAAGAGGCGCGGGTGGGAAGCTGGTGCTGTACAATAAGTCACCCGGTGCGCCCAGTACTCCGTCAGGCCGTGATCTTTCGTCGTGGCGGTCAAGCCGCCGTTGGTGACGGTCAGCCTCATCGACACGTCCGGCCTGGTGCTGGTAACGTAATTGCGCCACAACGTCGACACCGGTTTCTCCACGCAGCCCTCGCCTGTCGTCACAAATCAGAGCGTTTCTCCTCAGACAGCTGTTTGCGCGAATTTTTTTTCTTTTCTTTTCTTATCGAGCGTAGGAGGGCAGAGTTGGGCGAAAAGTGATCTCTGATTAATGATCGACGATTATAATTAGAGATCACTTTTCAAGTATCAATATTATATAATGATATCGGCACGAAAGAAGAGGAAAGCGACGAGCTATTGTATACGGCTTTCGGTCACTCGTTATGGTCCGCGCAACCAGTTGCCAGCGCGTAAGGGATTGAGCGTTAATCACAATATTTATTCGATTGTGACTGCATCGGCGATACCGTGTATATTTTTTAAGAACCACGTAATTTGCAATGTGCAGATTATTTTGGAATATGCAGAACCCTGAGATTTTATTAAGGTACGTTCGAAAATTTGAAACTTACCGAATGGGTACTTGCAATTTTGTTAAAAGATTTGATATTTCTGCTTCATTTCAACGAAGGTTTTTTTTTCTACTTTTAATTTTCTGCATTTTTTAAGTTTCAAAAATATAATTGTTAAATGCATAAAATATTTAATATTTAATAAAATATCAAAATATTTAATAAAACAAATATTTAATATTTAATAAAATATTAAAATATTTAATATTTAACAAATATTTAATAAAAGTATATAATTATAAATACAAATATTAAATATCTAGAAATATTCATTTTCAATGAACAGAGACATTTAAAATCCCTCTGCAGAGAGTCTCCACTTAATTATAATATCATAATATTAGCTACTCTTTTCTACCAAATTGAATTAAAAGATCTTAACTAAATCAATTGATTAAATTAATTAAACAAGGACCTTTAATTAAACGAATGTCATCAATTAAATGAAAATTATCATTATATCAAACAGAATTCCCATCTGAATCGTATTTCATGCTACAATCATTCAAAAGTGTTCAAACACTCGTACACGATACTGTTCATCCCGCTAAATTATCACGTTATCCTGTTACTTATGACATTAGCATCGCAACTATGCAGCCAACAGCGAAGATAGTGCCTCTGCATGTTGCAAAACGTCTGTTACGTTGTTGCAGCGTAACAATCGCCTTTGCCGCGTTATATTATTCAATGTTTCTATCGCGGTATTATTAAGAGTGCCATCAGCAAGTAACAATAATCGAGACAAAAGCTACGAGTTTCACCGTACGCTGTTTCCGCATACAATTACACGATGCATAATGCCTGTTACTTGTGTTACACAGCACGAAACAAAGTGGTCCCTCCCGCAAGGTTAAAGCCAAGACGTGATCTATATTCGCACGATACCGAACCGTACAATCGTTCTCTTTTCCCCGATGCAGCGCAAGTTCAACATCGTTCTTCTTGTCGTAGTTCGAAACGTTGTTCCCAGTTTTCCTTCGCAGAGGGAAAATTTATTGTGAAAATATCATGTTTGTGGTGGGAAGTTTTTTTTTTGTTTCTTTTTTTATTTAATTTTTGAAGGAATTTTTATTTTCATTTCTTTATCTTAATTTTAAAGGAATATTTATTTTAATTTTAAAGGAATTTTTGTCTTAATTTCTGTATCTTAATTTTAAAGTAATTTTTGTCTTAATTTCTTTATCTTAATTTTAAAGGAATTTTTGTCTTAATTTCTTTATCTTAATTTTAAAGGAATTTTT